GAACCTCTTTCTCAGAAGAAAAGCCTGGCACGGGAAAGGAAAGGGTTAAAGAACGTCGGCAAAGAATCGCCCGCAAATAGCGTCTTATAAGCTGTGGTGTTGTTGTGACGGTGCAGGCGTTTACTTGCTGGGAATTTCTCAAGAATTTTGTTGGTTCTTAAAATCATTGATAAAGACAAGTGTTTATATAAGAATATATGTTAAAGAAGAAACTATTTTTGTCTGTTTTTTACCTTTGTGTATTCAGTAATTAGTACTAATAATATTAATTTATTGATACATGCTGGTGATTTTCTTATGGTACCACAAATGTTTGTAAAATCTTCATACAGCTTTCATTAAACATTATCTGTTTGTATTTAGCTCTAATACTTTGTAATGTTGACTAAGATATATTATATTTTTATTTTGTGATCTATAACATAATGAATAGAACAATTTAACCTACTTTGTGAAAGAGTGACAAAAATACAGAAATAGTAATGATAAAAATCTCGAACTCCTTTGTATATCGTTCAGCATGAATGAGGATAAATTACATGAATAAAAAGATCTAATCTGAAAGTTCTTTAGGTCATGTATTCAGCGAAATTTTCCCTTTTGATATCGTTTCGTTACCGTTTCTGTCGTTACCACATGACAATATGTTTTTCCTTCCAGAGTAATTCTAACACACATATTTAATAAATCAATAAATTCACAGTCATAACATATAAACCTTTAAAAAGAGTCTTTATTTTATTACAAAATGAGTTACGGCTGATGACATAAAAATGAATCATAATTATAAGGTGTTCTTTATATGAAGCTCACTCAACGTCATGTAGACGGCTCGAAAGCAGCTTTTCATAAACTGGGTTGTTGTTGCGGTAGGACGAGTTGCCATGTACTATTGAAGTCGATTTTGTTGGATGACATTTCTGTTCCTATTTTCTATTCCTATTTTCTTCATAAAAGGACAAAGATAATGTCAATTGCGCTTAATATATCTCCTATATATTTATATGGTATAGTTTGCTTTACATAGTCAGAGCTGAAAGAAAATGAGAACAGAAGAATGACTCAAACATCCATATTGTCAAGTGAGGCTCAGGATTTGATGTTTCCAGGATTAGGGAGTGGCGGTATTCTTCTATTCTATTCAGTCTTACTTCCTTTTCTTTGTTTCTTTCAACGAACAAGATTTTCCTATCGCTAGAAAAAGCGTGCCATCAGCATCGCTCAATGTCTTCTTCCTAAGCGTCGTATCCAGTATAAAAAACTTGTAATATCGGAAAAAAACAACAGCACGAGAAATAAAAATCATTTTTGGACTCCTCTTCGCTCTTTGATGTTAGATTTGTAAAATAGACACGATGAAGATTTCTCAGTGATAGATAATCCCGATATTTTGACCGGATTGGCTATGCGAGCGGGGACAGGGAATCATAAGGGGAGGTTGTTGTGCAGAGAGCGCGCAGCAGGGAGTATGGTCTTGTTCTTCGTTCGAATTCTAATGGAATCTTGTATTGTTTATATTTATTATTGTTGGTCTGTTGATTTAAGATTACGTTCTGCTTGAATAGTTTTCCAATGGTAACTTAGGGTTTTCTTATGTGGAGTCCAGATATGTTTTGTGCTAATGATATAAATTGATTATATGTATATGTTGTGTGTGTGTGTGTGTGTGTGTGTGTGTGTGTGTGTGTGTGTGTGTGTGTGTGTGTGTGTGTGTGTGTGTGTGTGTGTGTGTGTGTGTGTGTGTGTGTGTGTGTGTGTGTGTGTGTGTGTGTGTGCATATGGTCTCTCTCTCTCTCTCTCTCTCTCTCTCTCTCTCTCTCTCTCTCTCTCTCTCTCTCTCTCTATATATATATATATATATATATATATATATATATATATATATATATATATATATATATATATATATATATATATATATATATATATATATATATATATCCATATATATATATATATATATATATATATATATATATATATATATATATATATATATATATATATATATATATGCATGTATATTACATACATATGTATACATATATATATATATACTATATATATATATATATATATATATATATATATATATATATATATATATATATATATATATATATATATATATATATATATATATATATATATTATATATATATATATTATTTATATATAAGTATATATATACGTAACAGACAATCTCTATCTTCTGCCTTTCTGTCCCACACAACTTTCTCAGAAGCGTTGTTTGTACAAGACGATGATAATGAGAATCCTGGTGATAATCCAGATACTTTGATAGGATTGAGAGGCTGAGTCAGGACAGGTGGTCATAAGGAGAGGTTGATGTGCTGTAGTTCTCGCGCCAGGATCATCATTCTTCAGGTGACATAATGCCAATGCCATTGATTTAGCAGTATAGTGTTATGTTATCATGGTGTCATTTTAATCGTTGCTTATTGATATCACCATGATTGGAATCTGCCATAGTAGGTGATGTCAACCTTTTTGCCATTATGGTTGAGGATGATAGTAGTAGTGATTTCAGTTTTGTTATTGTTATTACTGTTATCACTGTTAATTTTGTTGTTATGGCTGTTATTAATTTTGTTGTGTTTGTAGTTATTAGTGTTATCATTATTGGTTTTGCTATTGCTTTTATGCTAGTTATTATTATCATTATTATTAGTTTCATTTTCATTTGCATTAGATTTAGTAATATCATCATCATGATATCTGTCATCATTATTACCATTATTAGTGTTATCATTATCATGACTCTCATGATTAACGTACGTTATTGATGTACAGATAATTCCGATATCGATAATTAGCAATAATTGTTACCTATTATTATTAACATGATCATTATCATTGTTGTTGTTGTTTTTTATTAATATTATCATTACCATTATCATCATTATTAGTAGTAGTAATATTATTTTTATAATTATTATTACTATTAATAATATTAGTAGTAGTAGTAGCTATATAATTACTATCATCAATAGAAATAGTAGTAGTAGTAGAATCATTAATATTCTCTTTATTATTATAATTATTACTGATATCATCATTATCATTAACAGCATCTTCATTAATGTTATATTATTATTTTCAATATCATAAGCATTATCATCATTCACTTTTACAGTCACTTATCACTTTTACTATCATTACTTTAACTTCTATCATGATCATTATCATCATTACTATTACTGTCATTATCATTATCATTTTTATCATCACAATTATCGTTATTCCCATCATTATTATTTCAGTCACCACTATTATCATAGTCATCATCTTCATTGTAATAATAATGGTAATGGTAGTAATGATAATAATGATGATAATGATAATGGTAGTAATGATAATAATGATAACAGTAATAATGATAATATTGATTAATAACATTCCAACTATAACAGTATTAACTAAAACAACACAATAATGATGTAATAATAATAACAATGATAATAATAATGATAATGATTATAATGATTAATAATCAGTGATGATGAATATAATAATATGATATGACGATGATGATGATAATAATGATAATATAGATAATGATAATGAATAATAATGATAATGAATAATAATGATAATAATAATATAATAATAACATAATAACAACAATGATAACAATAATAATGATAAAGGAATGATGATAATGAAAATAATAATGCATGACAATAATGGTAATGATTAATGAATGATTATGATGATAATAGCAATGAAAAAATAATGATGAAATGATAAAATGATAATATAATGATAAATGGTAATAATGATAATGATAATAACAATATTGATGATTATGATGATAACGACAATACTGATAATAATAATGATCATGATAATGCAATAAATAATATAATAAAATTATGATGATAATAATATTATAACAATGATAATGATGATAATAATAATGTAATGATATGATAATAAATAAATAGATAATGATGATATTATAATGTTATAATCATGTGTTCATCATTATTATTATAATGATGATGATAATAACAATGATGATAATAATAATAATAATATAATAATAATAATAATAATAAGTAATGATAATAATAAGGATGAGAGTAATAATGATAATAGAAATGATGATCATCACATTTACGTAGACATAAAATAGAAAGAAAGAATTATATTGTACTTCTGAACACAATAATGAAGTATAAGTATTTGAAAATGCTACGAGAAAACGGTATAAGATATCTTGTGATGTTTCTCCTTTATTGTTATATGTAGCTACATCCATCTCTAACTTATGATAGTATATTCAGATCTATTTAATAATTAGTTTAATGCTTTTATAGTGTTATATTTCGTTTGAGTCGCTTACTGGATTGTTAAATAAAAGTCTTTGAATGTTTCGCCATCTCCGCGTCTGTGCGCATGCGTAGTTGTTGATGCTTCGGGTGTTGATGACACTTTTTCTCATATTTTGTTTAACTGATATCTAATTGATTATCAATATGAATTATAATTGGTTGACTTGGTATCATTGAATATAAGCATTGCTGTCCAATATTTACATCACATTTGAGTAAATGAGACAGCGTGTTATTAAAAAGAGGTTCCTCACACTCGGTACTTGGCACCTCCAACTGATGCCATGATTTACGTGTTTTTCATTCAGACACAATATCACAGTTATTCAATATAATCCTGGTATATTCCAGATTTAAGCATGGAAATCATCAATATAATTAACACAAATTCAAATATTGTATATTCAAGTGGTAATATTGGTCACTAAATACCTAGCAGGCAACTCAAACGGTTTACCATGAGGTTCCACAAATACGTACGGACGCAGTGTGTAAACTGTTGTAGGTGTGTGTGTACGCTGAGTCACAGTGTAAATATGGTTAGTAAGGTGATAGAAAATATTAGAAATCTTGAAATCGGTCACTTTAAACACAAAAGCCTAACTGGACACTGTTTAAGATTGTAGGAAGACGATAGTGAGCAAAAGTAACTACAGTTTAGCGTACTTGTCGGACCTGTTGCATCTGTTGCCGATTATTGTTTTTTTCGTAGTAATACTTCATTGGAAAAAAAAAATAACGCATATTACACAGCATGCACTCTATTGTTACTTTTACTGGGAAGAGTGAGTGTTAATTTAACGGTTTACATATGTGAATTTATCACTATCTAATGCCTTTGCCTTGAAATGTTCATGATAACTGTCTAACAGTCAAAACGATCATTTTTCACAGTCATACATAACCTACGGTATTGATAACACCCGCTACATTATTCCCATTTATTGAATAGAAGACATGCTTTTTTTCTCTATAAATGTTGATGAAAGTAGATGAGGTCATCAGTCCTTTAGTATTATAAAAGAAGCACAACGATAGATTGAGAATGTGTGCGTGATAATATGTTGTAATATCATTCATTTAATACCGTAATATCTATTCACTATCACGTTTAAGAGTCGTGTGACAGTGACGTCATGTTCACAAGATATGCTGTGAATGATGCGGGTCTTAGAATATTGTGAAAGTTTATGTACTGAGGATTTGTTTTACATATAACTGCTATTTATCACAGACGGTATTCACGTCTTCCCACCAGTATAAGGCCTAAATAAGAGTAGGCTCGTGTTATCTTATCAGGGTATTCGATAAGACTTCCAACTATTATCGAGTAAGAAGAATGAACTATTGTCACAGCTGTAGATTTCTCATTGAATTATTTTGTCTTTATTATTTAATTATTTTTGTATTTATTAGTTTTTAGTTTACTTTATCTTTTATTTTTTGTATTCATATATTTGTTTTCTTGGTATATGTATATTGCGGTGGATGTTAACTGTATAATGGAAACTATAAATCATTGAATGTGAGATGAAAAAAATTCTTTGTATTGTACTTGTGTGCAATAATTTATTAATAAGGAAGAGGACGTGTGTGTTGGTGAATTGTGTTTAAAACTATGCATTTCTTTTTCGTGCCTCTGTTCGTTCTCCTTCAATTAAGATGGATTAGTCTTTACCATCTCTCTCTCTCTCTCTCTCTCTCTCTCTCTCTCTCTCTCTCTCTCTCTCTCTCTCTCTCTCTCTCTCTCTCTCTCTCTCTCTCTCTCCATTTTTACAGCAGATTGCTATTACATTTAATTATGCTTTCATAGTTTTCTATATCGTATAATTTGTTTCAGGAAGAATCCGTGAGTCAGCATCGTCCATCCACCAGAAGCACAGCGGACATGAAAACCGAGAAGCCTTCATTTTTATAAGAGAAATCATATCATAAAAACCGTCAACATGTTTACACACAGACTCCTCTTTCCAATATTGTATTTCTTCGTTGTCCTAATCGTACTGCCGATATTCACCAGTGATAAAGTTTATTCCATGTTTTACCAAGATGACGTGCCAAAGAACACGGAGATAGATCAGATGAAACTCGAGTTCAGGAAGAAAGGAGTTCAGAAGTATTTACGGAGCTTAGATGCGGCTGCCACGCTTGAGTATCACGAGGACAAGTTATCCGAGTCGGTGGATAACCTGATCATCATCTTCGCGAGGAGGCCAAAGCACGATGACCTCCTCCTGTCACAACTCGTAGCCGAAGTAGACCGGAACATCAGACGGGAAAAGTTCTACAAAAGTGCCTTTTTCGTGTGTAACGTCACGAGGATTAACTTCCCGGAACTCGACCTCTTGTCTCGAATCTACCCCGTGCGACAAGCCAAGAACACGACAAGCTGGAAGCTCTTCAATCGCGAGGAAGTCATCAAGCACGACTTCGTGGAGTGCATCACCCACGCCCTCTCCGAGACGAACGCCAAGCACCTGACTCTCCTGAGGGATCACGTGGTGCCGTACTCCGGGTTCCTGCAGGTGCTCAACCGAGTCATCATGACGAGGCTCAACCGCACGATCAGCCGCGGGGAGCTCATGCCGGCGTACTCCTCGTGGCTCTTCCTCCACCTGCAGGAGCCCGTCCCTTTCCGCCACTACGAATTCAGCCTCAGTTGCGTCTACGAACTGATCCTCATCTCGAGCTTCGGCGGACTCCTGTTCCTCTTGGTCTTCTGGTGGGTGGAAGAGCCGCGCCACCACCACCTGGTGTCCATACGCCTCACCTACATCTTCTACGGCGTCCTCTACTTCCTCACCTTCGCCCTCATCATCGGACGCCCTTACGTCAGCGAGCTACGCCGCTTTGCCCCGGAGTTCTACCGCCTCTACGACCCTCCGGAGCCCGTCCACTTCTCCGCCATGAGCCTCCCGACCGCGAGTGCAGCCAAGCTCGTTAACTCCCTCAGCGACGTCAGGTGCTCCGTGTATGTGCCTTTCCACCGCGTGTTGGATCACATGGTCAACACGATCGAACTCCCAGGTTACGTCATATCCCCCAGTCTCGTCAAATACGTGGCTAGGACGTGAATGCAGAATGGAGACTGTGCTGGGTGACATTTAAGTGTGCCAATGTTTAAATACATAATACAGTTAATATCTAATACTTTTGTGTGATAGCAGGTCAGTAAATTATTCTTTTGTCTCTTGTTTGAGATTGTGTGATGGTGGTGCCTTTTTTGTTAGATGCGTATTGTTGTTTGTAGAATATCTAGTCGTATTTTTGGCATTATCCGACTCTGTATGGAGAAAATGAAGAAAATGCGCCATCATGATACTGTTGTCATTTTCTCAAGGAGATCTTTGTCATCTTCATTGCCATTTACTTCTGAATTTTCCTTTTATTTGGTATTTATATTACTGTTGTTTTTCTGTATCTTAAACAAGGTACTTATGACTGTTACTTACATAAAAATGTATCTGATATAATATATATTTAATATATGTGCAAATAAATGTGCTATTTTGAAATCACTTTTTTTTTATCTTTCATTTATGCAACAATGATAAGTTATTTACATTATCGACAATCATGATAATTCAGATTTATGTTTAAAACCCTATGGATCTAATAACAAACACACCTACACACACACACACATATATATAAATGCTTGTTATATATATGCATGTGTGGACATTGTAAGTGCATTGTCTGTTCACAAGTCAAAACTTCTTAAATTAAACAATATATAAAAAAAATATACAATGACATTTTCTGGATCTTGCAACTTATTCATATCTTACGATCCATTTTTCAGATTCTGGAAAATATATTCTGCATTAATGACTTTTAAAACAGCATTGATTGACATTTAATATTGCAGTATATGACTCTATTCAATTAGATAGATGTTTTACCAAACCTTTATAATTATTGGGGAATGAAACAACGAGCAATTTGTTTACTGTATTGTAATAAAAGTAAATATAACAGGGCCTTGGATACTTACGATTTGTAGTTTGCATTGTATAATGGACATTGTGTGTAAATAAAACACCATATTTCTTTCTCGACATTTCTCTAGTTCTCGCTTTCTCTTCCTCATTCCCCCTTTCCCTCTAGCCCACTCACTCCCTTTTTCTAATTCTCCCTCTCTCTCCCCCCTCACTCTCAGTCCCTCTCTCTCTCCCCTCACTCGCTGTCCCTCTCTCCCTGCGATCTCGTTATCATCACTCTTTCACTACTACTTGAACGTTATTTCCATTCACAAAACATGCCTGACCGCAGGTGATATCATCAGGTTATACGCACAGAGTAGTACCATACCAGCTGGTACTTCAAAGGATCATATACACCTGCCATCACCTTTTCATGAATGAGTTCGACCACTGGAAGAGTAACGGGCGATAGTTAGCGTAAAACTACCTTCTTCAGTCGTTTGCCTCCGGGACAACGAGAGCGAGGTAGACATGGGTGAAGGTGGAGTGGAGATCACAGTCGTTGTGTCGTGGTTTTAGCTGAATTGTCGTTGTAGTCGTAGTGGTAGTGGCAGTAATAGTAGTCGTAGTGATAGTAAGTCGTAGTAACAGTAGTCGAACTAGATGTAATTGGAGTTGTAGTCGTAGTTTTAGTAATAGCCGTAGCAGTCCTAGTGATAGTAGTCGCAGTCCTAGTGATAGCACAAGCAGTTGTAGTGATAGTAGTAGTTGCAGCAGTCGTAGTAAAAGTAGTCGAAGTAGATGTAAGTGGCGTTGTAGTTTTAGTAATAGCCGAAAAAAAGAGTCGTTAGCAGTAGCCGTAGTAGTAGTAGTAACAGTTGCTGTAGAAGTGCCTATCTATGACTCCTTGGACCGTGCTTTGGTGTGCTCCAAGAACTTCCTTAGGGTCGTCCCAGTGGAGTCGTTAAGATCGAGATAGGATGGTTCTGAGGAGAAAGGAAAATATATAAGAGAAAATGCTTAATAACGGGTGACCAAATATTTTGAAAAAAAAAATCAGAGGCCCTAGGAAATTGTATATATATATATATATATATATATATATATATATATATATATATATATATATATATGTATATATATGTACATATATATTAACATTTATATATATATATATATATATATAATGTATATAATATATATATATCGTCTTAAAATGGCCATAAAAAAGTATTCAAATGCGAACCTTTTTCTGTCACAGGTTTTAAAATGTCTTAGATTTGCCCAAGGCACGTCTTTGTTAGCGTAAATGTATATTTAACTGCCACCCGCGAAAGCTAGTACCCTTACTGAGCGATACGACCGTTTACATATGTCTATATATATATATATATATATATATATATATATATATATATATATATATATATATGTATGTATATATGTATATATATATATATATACATATGTATATATATATACATATGTATATATATATATATGTATATGTATATATATATATATATACATACATACATATTTACGACAGATAGATATATCCATATTTATTTTGTTTCTTTTTTGACGCTATTTTGTTAATTCGCCGAGAACACGAGCATCGACATAATTACCTTAATGCAAATAGCGGATTAAAGTGAAGATATCGATGTGCATATTCGAGGTGAGAGCTTAAATCAACAACATATTTTATAAACG